ATGTTAGCCGGGCTCCTCGCATCCCTAACGACCTCCCTGGGTCCTGGGCATGGCTCCGCCGTGTGCCTGCTTGGCGCGGCGGTGACAGCCGTGCTGCCCTGGCGTTAGGGAGACACCTTGAGGGCCCCGGGAGGGTGCACAGTGCTGTGCAGTGGCCTTTCCTGGGAGTAACGGCAGAGGTGCCCTCCCTGGCACCGGGCTTGGGGGGGGGCGTCCCCTGGGGAAGGGAGCGGCCCTGTGTTCTTACTGTCTGAATGAATGTGCATGCTGAAGCCAAGTGTCTCATCGCTTCTCCCGGGTTTGTTTTTATAGAGATTGAATTCACTTCAGGAGCTTCAACTTCTTGAAATCATGTGCAATTATTTCCAGGACCAATCCAAGGACTCTGTCCGGCAGATTATTTTCTCGTCCCTTTTCAGCCCCCAAGGGAACAAAGCGGATGACAGCCGGATGAGCTTGTTGGGGAAACTGGTCTCCATGGCAGTGGCTGTGTGTCGAATCCCAGTGTTGGAGTGCGCGGCCTCCTGGCTCCAGGTACTTCTCTGGAAATAGCCTCCTCCCCAGTCCTCGGGGAGGAACGTTCAATTAATTGGGTTTCTTGAGAGGCCTTTGCCACATGCTGTCTGTCTACTTGATGTCACTACCCCGTATGCTGATGCCCCAGACCTATCTTTACATACAAGTAATAATCATTCTTGAGAAAACAGTAGCCTGTGATGGTACATTAGTTTAAAAAAGAAAGGCTCTGTCTTCAGAACAAGTGAAAAATCCCTTTTCTTAGTTGAAAGTGATAGGTGGGGTTGTAAAAACAGCTCTGCATGCAGCCTCAGAGGTAGGATTTGTTTCTTTAAGATCATTACGTGTCATTGTGGCACGTTTGCTGGTCTTCTATACAGTTAGGTCCGTCGGCATGGGTGTTGTTTGCATTGTCCTAGGATGACATTACAGAGTGGGTGGCTGTTCTAACGGAGAGGGACATAAGAGCTTTCCAGAGTATTTTTATTTATTTACTTTTTAGAGAGAGAGCAAGGGAGAGGGATAGAGAGATAGAAACATCAATGAGAGAGGGACATCATCGGTTGGCTGCCTCCTGCACGGCCGCCACTGAGGATTGGGCCCGCAACCGAGGTCCATGCCCTTGACCAGAATCAAACCTGGGCCCCTTCAGTCCGCAGGCTGATGCTCTTTCCACTGAGCCAAACCGGCGGCTAGGCCTCTAGAGTGTTTTAAATATCAAAGGAAAAGTGTCTCTTTACAGTTGATGTTTTGTTAGATGGTATTTCGGAAGATACATTTTGTTTTCCTTTTTTGTTACTTAGAGTCTTTGAAAATTTGATAATCTACTTAGAGTAATAACAGATTTTTAAAAAATGTATTTTTATTGATTTCAGAGAGGAAGGGAGAGGGAGAGAGAGATAGAAACATCAATGATGAGAGAGAATCATTGATTGGCTGTCCCCTGCACACCCCTCACTGGGGATCAAGCCTGCAACCTGGGCATGTGCCCTTGACTGGAATCGAACCCAGAACCCTTTAGTCCACAGGCCAATGCTCTGTCCACTGAGCCAAACCAGCTAGGGCTTAAGTGAGATTTTTATTAATATTCTCAGCGATGCTAACAGAATTTATTGCATCCAGTTTCACAAACCTGTTCATTCCCAAGTTCTTGAAATGATTTTTTAAAATTGTATTTAAATATTTTTTTGTAACCTTTTTTTTTAAATCCTCACCTAAGGATATGTTTTTATTGATTTTTTGGAGAGAGAGCAACATCTATGTGAGAGAGAAACATCAATTGCCTGCCTCTATATCCACCCCAACTGGGGATTGAACCTGCAACCTAGGTGTGTGCCCTGACCCAAATCAAACTCGGCAACCTTTTGGTGTATGGGGTGACGCTCCAACCAACTGAGCCACCGGGCCAGGGCATCTTGTAATCTTTCTTATCATTAAAATGTGTCTAGCAAGCCCTGGCTGGGTAGCTCAGTTGGTTGGAGCATCGTCCTCATACGCCAGGGTTGTGGGTTCGATCCCCGGTCAGGACACATATAAGAATCAACCAAGTGGAACAATAAATCGATACTTCTCTCTAAAATTAATTTTTAAGAATTTTGGTTAGCAAAAAGATACATTTTTGTTTGTAGTACACAGGCAAATCTCAGTGGAGTCTGTGCCTTAATTCTCATCAGCATGATTTCTGGGGCATCTGAATTGATCATGTGCGCTGTCTTTAACCTCAAGATTACCTCTATCCCTTGACAGCCTAGTGAAGTCAAGCTTAGCATCTTGTGACCATCACAGGATTTTCTCTCTCTCTCTCTCACGGCGCAGTCGTGCTGGCATTCTGGCAGCAGGAGAGCAGATCGGAACAGCAGGACAGGGTCTCTGTGGTCTGGGTCGGGGTTTGCCGCACTGGGAGGGGCTGCAGCCTCCTCCCGAGGAAAGGCAGAGGTGGGTGGTGCGGTGTCGTGGGCAGCGTTTAGCCTGAATGGACCGTCTGGCCCGCTGTCTCCTTGCAGTTTGCCCTGGAGGCCACGATGGGGCCTGGGACTGTGGCGTCCCGGGCAGCCGTTGAACGTGGCAGTACTTACAGATCGGCACCTGAGTGCGAGGGAGAAGGCCGGGGCGGGTGGGGATGTAGGACTGGAAAGTGTCAGGGAAGCCTGTGGGAGGGCAGAGCTGTAAGAATGGAGGGGTCGCTCTCACCCCCGAGATAGTTCCCAGACTCTCCGGGGCCCTTTAGGCGGGAGCAGCCGTTAATTTTTACCGTTGGAGTCTCAACTGCAGGTTCACAGAAGGTGTCAGAAATGATCTTTTCCTAAGGAAACTTCGAAGCAAGGGTCGGCAGGCCTTTTACGGAAAGGCAAGATAATATATATCTTAGGCTTTGCGGATCTTGTCGTGTCTGTCACAGCAGCCTTAGACAGTAGGCGAGCCTGTGCGCAGGGCTGTGTCAGGACCACCGCGTTCACAGCAGCCGAGCGGGTGCAGCTGGGCTGCGGGCTTGCGTTTGCCAACCCCTGCGGCAGAGCAAGCCCTCCAGGTCCTTGCCCGCTGGAGGGTTCTGCCGGGGCTGGGGGCCGGGTTTCACCAGATGTGCGCAGCTGCTGGTCGCCAGCCCGCGACCCCCGTGGTCACGCGCTGTGGCTTCTTTGCAGCGGACGCCCGTGGTCTACTGCGTGCGGCTGGCCAGGGCCCTGGTGGATGACTACTGCTGCTTGGTGCCCGGCTCCGTGCAGACGCTGAGGCAGATCTTCAGCGCCAGCCCTCGCTTCTGCTGCCAGTTCATCACCTCCGTCACCGCGCTTTACGACCTGTCGTCAGGTATGTAGCTCACCTGGACTCCCCGATGGATAATGTTTGCCCCTTCTGCCCTTCCTCCCTCCTGTCCACACTCACAGGTATTTTTCCCTGAGCTTTTGAGTTTGTTGCCAATGTCAAGTGCTTAAGCACGTGCTTCCTCAGAACAGGCCCTTCGCTTACATAACCACGACATCGTTGCCGCACCTGAGAATGGAGTATCGAGAGGACACAGTTGGCTGTCTCTCAGATGGCCGGTGTTCAGACCGCCCTGCTGGTCTCAGTTATGTCTCTGGTAGCCTCCTCTCCCCCCGGGGGGTCGGGAGAACGCAGGATCCAGCTCAGGAGCATACATCGCACGGAGCCGTCATGTCGCTTTGGTCTTTAAGTCTAGAACAGTCCCCAGCGGTTAAAAACATGTCTTAGGGCACTGACTGTTTAAAGAGCTCGGGCCTGTTGTTTTGCAGAATGTCCCTCAATTTGGATTTCTTTGTTTCCTTCTGAGAAGAGTCAAATGAAACATTTTGGCAACGGGCCTTCCTCAGTGTGATGTGTCCTCAGTGCCTCGAACTAGGAGGTGGGCCCTCGGGCCTGCTCTCGGTGAGGTTTTTATTTTTATTTTTAATATATTTTTACTGATTTCAGAGAGAGGAAGGGAGAGGGAGAGAGAGATAGAAATATTAATGATGAGAGAGAATCACTGATCGGCTGCCTCTTGCACACCCGACACTGGGGATTGAGCCCACAACCCAGGCATGTGCTCCGAACGGGAATCGAACTGTGACCTCCTGGTTCATAGTTTGATGCTCAACCACTGAGCCACACCAGCCGGGCATGGTGAGGATTTGGAGACTTCCTTAGCAAGATGCCAGAAGAGGTCCTCAGGTGGCCCTTAGATGGCATTGGACTTCAGCTGGGAGAAGCCCTTGTCCCTGTGGTCAGATTTCATGCAGACTCCCAGTGAAGACACCCAATAAAGAGCTTCCCAGCTCCTGTTGAATTGGGGCAAGAGCTGTGGTCCTGATTTCCACTCGGGGCAGTTCGGGCCTCGCCCTGGTGAGCAGCTTGCTCTGCAGAGCTGCTTAGAGCCAATTTTCTCTTCCAGGTTCCTGCTCTGCCCTCGGCTCTTGCCCTCAAGGACTGACAAACAGTCTCCATTAAAAAACGAAAAGAAAAGGAAGTTATTGATTTGAGAGAGAGGGGAAGGGAGAGGGAGAGAAAGAGAAACATAGATGTGAGAGAGAAACATCGATCGCTGACTCTTGGACGCCCCCTCTGGGAGATCGAGCCCACAACCGAGGCGTGTGCTCTGACCAGGAATCGAACTGGTGAACTCCTGGTGCCTGGGATGATGCTCAACCAATTGAGCCACACTGGCTAGGGCAGCTGTCTGTTATCTTGATCTAGTAGCTAATAGCTGTTAGTAGTTGGGAACACTATTCAGGGCTTTGCTTCCCATTAGGAAAGATTTAGTTAAACCTAGTTTACCGCTTCCTAGTTGCCCTTTTAGTCTTCAGTTATTCTAGGCCAGAGGTCGGCAAACTGCGGCTCTCGAGCCACATGCGGCTCTTTGGCCCCTTGAGTGTGGCTCTTCCACAAAATACCGACTTCTGGGCATGGGCCACGAAGTTTCAGTCGCACTGTACGTGCGCGCCCGCACGTGGTATTTTGTGGAAGTTTCAATCGCACAGTACATGCGCGCCTGCATGTGGTATTTTGTGGAAGAGCCACACTCAAGGGGCCAAAGAGCTGCATGTGGCTCGCGAGCCGCAGTTTGCCGACCACTGTTCTAGGCTAACAGGGACAGAAATTGGCCTTAGTACTGGGAAGGGGTTGACTAACATGGAAAAAGAAATGACGTTCAGACAACACCACTAACGTTCTAGAATGGATGTGGGCCATGGTCTTTTTCTCTCCAGCCAGCTTGCTAGTCCGGTGTGTCAGTAAACCGTTTTGTGGAGGTTGATTGACATGTGAAAAGCTGTGCGTACCGAATGTGTGCAACTGCTGAGTTCGGAGAAGCGGGAATCCCCGGCGCACAGCGGCAGCCCTAGAGGGCTGGGCCAGGGCTCTGCCATCAGAATGGCGAAGCTGCTGCCCCCGGGCGCTTCTGGGGGCAGGAGAGATTCCTGGGGAATCAGTGCCTTCAGGGCCACACAAAGGGAGGAGCTCCCCGAACCCAGCAGGACCTCTGAGGCCCGAATGGAGCAGAGAGCTCAGGTCTGTGCGTAGGAAGGTCGTAGGGATTATGTACTCGAGTGCACACATGTACACACAGGCTCACACGCGTAACCTGCCTTGAGGTTCTCGGAGGCGCCTCAGCTTAGGTCGGGTGGGGGGGGGGGGTGTAGCGCATGCCAGAGAAGTGGGTGTGAGACTGGTGTTCCCAGGCAGGAGTGTCTCGGGGGGAATTGGGGATCACACACAGGGTCGCCCACTGTTCATGTTGTCACATAAGAGTCATCGGCAGCTGCTCCCTGCTGTTGCCATCACTTCATAGCAGAAGGAATCGGACTGGTGGGGGTGGGGTGCGGTGGCGTAACACCCAAACACAGGCAGCATCTCAGGAGCCTTTCACCGACGTCTCCCCACCCCCACGTTCTTGTTGTGCTGGCTCTGGCGGGGCTCTGTCCTGAGCTGAGGGGAGCGCAGCCCACTCCCTGCACAGCCACCGAAGGGTATCGCACGCCGATCCCAGGGCCACGCCGATCCCAGGGCCACGCCGATCCCAGGGCAACGCTGTGTGGCCTCGTTAAGAGCCAGGCCACCTGGGGTCAGGCCTGGGCCCACCACATACGTTTGCCGAGTCCTGGGGAAATTACCATCCCTGTGCCTCAGTTTCCTCTGGGGTGGTTTGAGGGTTACATGTGTTCATCTGTGGAAAGGAATTATACTGTTGCCGGGAACATCGTAAGCCCAAAGTCAATATCAACGTTTGTTTTTATTGTTCTTCTCTGTCTAAGCCGTAGAACGTGCCAGGTCCTAGGGTCACAGGAGGTCAGACTGTCGGTTAGACAGGGAGCTGAGGTGGCCCTTGGCAGCTGACATCACTGGCTGATCTCTGCTCCTCGAAGGCCACCGTAACTCGTGCCTGGAGGAGACGCCAACACCGCAGCAAAACGTACTCTCAAGGGAGGGGCGAAGTGTGGTGTGAAGCTTGGACATGAGAGGTGTGGAATTTGATTTAAAATGACACACGGAACGAACTTTCCTCAAGGCCCGGTGGAGTTCTCGGGAGTACACGAGTATTTCTCGAGCCCTGCCTCGGCCAGGCAGCCCTGTCACTGAGGCAGGAGTCCCAGCCTTCGTGGAGGGGATGTCCAGGGAACGGGACAGAAAACAGACGAGCAGAGAAGTAGATAATGTGGGTGTGGGGTGACGAGTACCGTGAACCTAGGGCTCCATCCCCCTCCGCCCACTTCTGTCCCTGGGGCCGGAGACCCTCCTGACTCGGCGTGTCTTTGCAGACGACCTCATCCCGCCGCTGGACCTGCTTGAAATGATTGTCTCCTGGATCTTCGAGGACTCGAGGTTGATTCTCATCACCTTTTTAAATACTCCGATTGCAGCCAACCTCCCAATAGGGTTTTTAGAGCTCACCCCGCTCACTGGATTGATCCGCTGGTGTGTGAAAGCCCCTCTGGCTTATAAAAGGAAGAAGAAGCCCTCCTTGTCCAATGGCCACGTCGCCACCAAAGCCGCCCCGGACTCGGCAGGGCTGGACAGGGACCCCCACCTCCTGTACTCCAAGCTGCACCTCAGCGTCCTGCAGGTGCTCATGGTGCTGCAGGTGCACCTCACCGAGAAGAACCTCTATGGGCGCCTGGGGCTCATCCTGTTCGACCACATGGTCCCGCTGGTCGAGGAGATCAACCGGCTGGCGGACGAGCTGAACCCCCTCAACGCCTCCCAGGAGATCGAGCTCTCCCTGGACCGCCTCGCCCAGGCCTTGCAGGTGGCCATGGCCTCCGGAGCCCTGCTGTGCACGAGAGGTGGGTGGCTCCCTGCCTAGGCCTTCCTGGGGGAGGGACACCACAGTCCACCCCACAGAACACGGGGCTCCTGGGCCAGTACCGAGCGCTGCCTCTTCTGGGACTTCTTCCCGTTAGTGAACGGGGAGGAGGGGGAGACTTGGGACATCCCCAGGCAGAGCACTGTGACCTGGTGTCGCTGTGGCTCCTGGCCATCGCTGCCAGGACTGGGACACCTCGACAGGTGTGAGAGCTTAGTATCTTCCCCTCAGGCAAGCTTCTTTTTCTGCAGAAGATTCCCTTTAATTCCTTTTTTATTGCGGCATAATTTACGTGCAGTAAAATGCATAGATTGAAATGCATAAAGCATTCCCCTCCCCTGTTTTAAGGTTCCTTAATTCTGCATTTTAGTGCTTGATGGCTCTCAGGCGAATGAGCCTGTGCTGATGACACACCTGTGTTTGCCCCCTTTTTTTTTTTTTTTTTTTTGTCAGTGATTCCAGAGAGAGAGGAAGGCAGAGGGGGAGAAGGAAACATTGATGTGAGAGGGAAACATGGCTCAGTTTCTTCCCATATGCGCCCCAACCGCAGATCAAACCTACAACCTGGATACGTGCCCTGACCAGGAATCGAACCAGCAACCTTTGGTGTTCAGGGCGACACTCCAACCAACGGAGCCACACCGGCTAGGGCTGTGCTCCCTTTTGAACCGTTGGCTCCCAGAGCTGCCCGTGCCCCCAAGCTGTGGTCTCTGGTGACGGGTTTCCCTCTTATCAGGCTCTTGCTGCCCTGGGCGGCTGATCTGCCCGGGGAGAGCCCTGCCTCGAGGCCTTTCCCAGCTTCTGACACGTTGCCGATAGAGCTGCCACTTCCCTAAGCGAGAGAGTCTATTTGGGGCCCCGTTTGTTAAAGCAAACGCTGAGGAAAGAGAGAACACAGCTTCTGAACGATGCCAGGGAACTGGAGCATCGGGCAGCATTGCCGTCTCACTGGCCCCTTCAGCAGCCGCCAGAGAACATTCCATCCTGTTTTCTCCGTCCCTTCCTCAATGACCTGTCTCCTTGGTTTCAGATGATCTGAGGACCTTGTGCTCCAGGCTCCCCCACAATAAGTAAGTGCCCTCTCAAGGCTTCTGGTCGGGTGGGGGGTGAAGGGGGGTGCAGGGCAGGGTGGACCCCTGTCCTGGCCCGCAGGCTCCAAAGCTTCTGTATATAAGGAGGCCCTTAAGGACTGATGATAAGAGGGGACAGATATGAGGGCATAACCCACATGAGAGGAAGGCCAAATCGGGGTAAATCAAAGATAAAAAAGGTGAAAAGGTGGTCATCTTGCTGGAGTCGAGGAAAGAAACCGGAATCAACTTAGAGCGTCACGCTCACTCCGCGCTGTGCGTCCACAGCTTTGCGGTGACGTTGGTGCGCGATGCTGGTGACACTGAGCTGGGTAGCCCTTTGGGAAACAGTGCAGAGCCACAGCCCTCGGGCACAGTGTGTCGGTCAGGCCAGCGCCTGGGCATCCTGCGGCACTGCCCGGAGCTGAGCGTGGTTCTGTCTGGTTTGCTGTGGTGCTTGGGTCGTCTCTGCCTGTCTCTGAGCCTCGGTGGATCCCCTTGTAAAATGGGGCACTGACTCACCTGCCTCCGGTGGTTGTAGTGAGGACCAAGCGGGTGACACTTGTGAATTTCTTAGCACGGCCTGCGCCATCTGGGACTCTGCATAATGGTGGTGGCTGTCCTTTGGGGAAGCAGTGATCCTGGGTGGAAAGCAGGAACTGTGGTCGCATAGCTTCCGGGAAGAATTCCCGCCTCGCTGCTTCCTCTCAGTGTGACCTCGGGCAGGTTCCCTACCTCCCGCCTCCGTTCTCTGGAAAGTCCAGAAAGTGACTGTACCAGCCGCATGTCCTGCCTCCTCGTGGGGGCACTGGGAACAATGCTTGTTTTGTTGAGTATCTAAGAAGGGTTAGCTGCTGTCACTTTTACTGCTACTTCCATAATTTAGGGGTTCTACTTAATCTAATTAATTTCACCGACTCTAAGAAGCAAAAGTTATGCACAAAAATGTTTCATGCAAATGCAGTATTATTAGCAGAAACCTGGAGGCAGCCTAACGCTCCCCGGGCGGGGATGCTCAGTCACTGTGCAGTGTGACACCAGAACAGGCAGGTTTCCACTAAAGGTGGTCATGTGGCCAGTGGCTGGGGGAGTGTTAGTGAGTTTGTAGTGTTACCTCAGGATGGAACATTGTATCCACCAAAAGCAGTCACTGTGGCAACTCACTGCGGAAATGTTTTTAGTTCAGCGGTTCTCAACCTGTGGGTCGAGACCCCTTTGGAGGTCGAATGAGCCTTTCACAGGGGTCGCCTAAGACCATCCCTGCCTCCGGTGGTTGTAGTGAGGACCAAGCGGGTGACACTTGTGAATTTCTTAGCACGGCCTGCGCCATCTGGGACTCTGCATAATGGTGGTGGTTGTCCTTTGGGGAAGCAGTGATCCTGGGGTGGAAAGCAGGAACTGTGGTCGCACAGCTTCCGGGAAGAATTCCCGCCTCGCTGCTTCCTCTCAGTGTGACCTCGGGCAGGTTCCTTACCTCCCGCCTCCGTTCTCTGGAAAGTCCAGAAAGTGACTGTACCAGCCGCATGTCCTCCTGCCTCCTCGTGGGGGCACTTGGAACAATGCTTGTTTTGTTGAGTATCTAAGAAGGGTTAGCTGCTGTCACTTTTACTGCTACTTCCATAATTTAGGGGTTCTACTTAATCTAATTAATTTCACCGACTCTAAGAAGCAAAAGTTATGCACAAAAATGTTTCATGCAAATGCAGTATTATTAGCAGAAACCTGGAGGCAGCCTAACGCTCCCCCGGGCGGGGATGGTCAGTCACTGTGCAGTGTGACACCAGAATAGGCAGGTTTCCACTAAAGGTCGTCATGTGGCCAGTGGCTGGGGGAGTGTTAGTGAGTTTGTAGTGTTACCTCAGGATGGAACATTGTATCCACCAAAAGCAGTCACTGTGGCAACTCACTGCGGAAATGTTTCTAGTTCAGCGGTTCTCAACCTGTGGGTCGAGACCCCTTTGGAGGTCGAATGAGCCTTTCACAGGGGTCGCCTAAGACCATCGGAAAACACATATATAATTACATATTGTTTTTGTGATGAATCACTATGCTTTAATTATGTTCAATTTGTAACAATGAAAATACATCCTGCATATCAGATATTCGCATTATGATTCATAACAGTAGCAACATTACAGTTATGAAGTAGCAACGAAAATAATTTTATGGTTGTGGGTCACCACAACATGAGGAACTGTATTTCAGGGTCGCGGCATTAGGAAGGTTGAGAGCCACTGTTCTAGTTGAAAGCAGAGGCCAGGCTGGGAGCAGGAGGGAGCAGAGCCAGGAGCAGGCCTGTCCTGGAGGGGGCGGCCTGAGACGGCTTTCCAATGGGGCATGGCCAGGAGTTGGTCCTTGGAGGCTAAGGGCGTGGGGCTGAGGTCTGGGCAGATGGAGGTTAAGGAGCTCTGCTGATCCTGCTGGGCGAGGAGACTGAAGTCAGAAAGGATGAAACTGGTCAGAGGAAGAAACCCTTCAAGGAGTGTCAGGAGGGAGTGACATTGAATTCAGGGGGGCAGAGGATTTCCGGGAACAGAGCGAGGAGAACGCAGCTGGAGGAGGTGCTGGGCACCTCGGGCTTGGGGGTCACTGAGGGTGGAAGGGGACCTGGGTGGGGTGGGAGGGGACGCCCCTGAGGCCTGGGAGTGAAGGAGCCGGTGGCTGGGGGCGGGATTGGGAAGGGAGTGGCCCCTGAAGGGGTCAGGCTGGGTCCCGCCTGTCCAGGACTCTGGGTGTCCGGGAGCCGCTTTTGTGTCATTAAGGACTCAGGAAGCTGGCCTGCTGCCTGCTTGCTGCAGCCTCAGTCACGACGCCCCTAAGGTAGACAGTTGAGGCTGAACGCAGGCACCAGGCACCGAGGCTGCCCCTGTGGACTGCAGCCCCTCCCGCCGTCCTGTGCCCGCCTCCTGGGCACCTAGGGTTTCTCAGGTCCCTCCCCCGCATTGTCACCTTGTCACATGCAGGGTCCTGGCTCTTCCCCTGCTGGCCCTTCCTCTCTTCTCTGCCCCGTCCCAGTCTCATCCTGTCACCCCCTCCTGCTCCTCCCCAGCCACAAACCACCCTCCGTCTCCCTGTTCTGTTTCCCCGTCTGGGAACCTGCGTGTTCTGTACCCGCCTCCGGTGCCTCTCGGTGCCTGTGTGAGGGCTGTGTGGGCCAGGCCTCTCTCCCGCCTCCCCATGCACCAAGTCCAGGGGCAAGGGCCAGCCCGACGCCGAGTGGCAAATGCCGTCGTCTGGGATCCGCGCGCTAACCCTTCTCCTTGTGTTCGCAGCCTGCTGCAGCTGGTGATCTCGGGGCCCGTGCCACAGTCGCCCCACGCGGCCCTCCCCCCAGGGTTCTATCCTCACATCCACACGCCACCGCTGGGCTACGG